GTGCGGCCAGCCGGCAGCTTTCCAGGCACCGGCACTCGGCCGTGGAAACGCTCCAGCCTTTGTCCCGGAAGCTGGGACGGAGCCAAGCAGAGCAGAAGGCGGCCCAGCCTCCTCCCTTACCATCAGAGCAGCACTGCCAGCACCCGCACGGATGCCCCGGCACGGCCCCCACCGTGGCGTGGGGCTGCCAACGGTGCCGTCCCCCCCGCACGGCACGCAGATGCTCTCCCTGCATGCAGCCACGTTTCCTCGCCTGAGGCGGAGAAGGGGCGCAGATCCCAGTACAGGGGTGTCAGCTGGCACTGGTGCGACTGGGAACTCACTGGTTATTTCCCAGGGCTCCTGCAGGCTCATTTGAAGATGTTTCTTAACAAAAGGGGTAAGAACAGCCTACGGCTTCCTCTCTGCTCCATCCCAGGCCCCCACAGCATTCCCACATGCAGCCCAAACAACACAAGACAGGGCTCCTCCATGCAATCAGGAGTCACCGGAAAGCAGGACCAGGAGCCTCTCAAGTGCCATGTCAGGGGAGTGGCACAAAAAGCCCAAGGTTTGCCCTCACTAGCAAAAAGGAGATGATACCGCAGCAGGACATGGGGCATGTCCCACAGCTTGATCCCCTGCAGTGCTGGAGCCACATTCTTGCTCCGGTATCTCAGCAGCTTCCCGGCCAGAGCGCCCCATCACTTGACGCAGCAGCCCCCAGCAAGCCTGTAGCTGTACATCCCACCTCCAGCCTGAGAGCCCGGTCCTAAAACAGGGCCAGGTGATATTTCCAGCAGGGTCCAAGCACTCCCAAACACATTTGCCAGGGTCCGCTTGCCCGCCAGGCAGCAAACCCCAGGCTGGACCATCTGGTGAGACGGGTTTTGCCACCATGACACCAGCTACGTGGCCCAAGCATGGTGAGGTGGCTGCCTAATCCCACCAGGTGCCAGGCTCCATCCTCACCGCTGTGCTGTCCCTGCTCCTGGCTGGCCTTGGAGACCAGGGCCACTCAGGCATTCCTCTCCAGCTCCCATAACTGGCTGAAAACAAAACACTTCTTCCTCCTTCCTGTGCAGAATGGCCTGACAATAGCCTTGAGCAGCAAAACCCAGCAGGAAAAGGGAACAGGAACTGGAGCTGTAAACACCTCTGCACAGCCCGGAGCCTTCGCATCCCTCTGAGCTGCGGGAGGAACGCGGCTCCCCGCGCCCCGGCTCACCACCTCCTCCGTGAACATCCCGGCTCCAGGCTCTGGGGCAGCTGATGCAGTGGGCAGCGAGGGCAGCTCTCCAAGGCACGAGCGAGCGGCAGAGCATCATCCCCGGAGCAAACCCCACCAGCCCCAGGGCTCGCAGCCACCCCAGGCGAGCGCAAAGGGAGTTCATAGAATCATAGAATCATAGAA